CTTGGGTGAGCCCAAAACCAGAGACTTATGTGTCGGCTCTGCACTTATGGAAGCCTCCTTGGATGGCGGGGAATGCCCATGATCTGCCCCTGCCTTCCCTTTAGGGCTAACCGTTCCACACAGGCTGCCCCAAAGGGGGTACTCCGGGGGAAAACACTTGTGGAGAAAGGGACAAAGAGGACATCACACAAATAAGTTAACATCTCGACCCACACAAAACAATGGCCACAGTCATCCTAGTAATAGCCCTGACGTCTTCCCTCGAAGTCCGAGTATATCTGCCCGTGAGGCAGGGAACGGCAAAAGCCAGTAAAACGGTTGTACACGCAAAACTCAGGTCCAGGTAAAAGCCAAAAGTTCAAGCGGACGATTAACCGGGAACTTTCCGCCGTAATTCACAGTTGGTGAACGAAGAAGAAGAAGAAGATGTTACGTATGGCTAATAAGTGTTAGATTCAAAAGTGTTTCGTCCAATATGTTTTCAAAGTATTAACGTATGATGCTATTTCTTTGGTATAATAACCAGTGTTAGATATTTCCATGATTATTTATTTACCCGTGAGCTAATTCTGCCTAAATATACAAACGATAATCAAATTTGTCATGGTATTTTAATTTATAGCGGGCATTTTCCTGATATTATAATGCCTTGTGAAGTAAGGATGACCGGCGTTAATGTTGACGACATTACCCACATAGTGTCTTTTGATGTATGTGCATATATATATATATATATATATATATATATATATATATATATATATATATATATATATATATATATATATATATATATATATATATATATATATATATGTGTGTGTGTGTGTGTATATATACGTTTATATACATATACATATGTATATGTATGTATATAAACGTATACATACATATATATACACACACACGTAAGTTTAGTACCATATATCTGGAGTGAGAGTGAGGTAGAAACTGTTTCCATGATATGTAAGTATTCTCCGTATTTGCCCAGATATAGAAATGTTACGTCCACTATGTGAACGATTTACTGTTATAGTAACTTGCATGCGCAGGATACGGCCACATTGCTCCCAAGACGGTCTGGGGTCGTCTAGTGTGTATAGCCTACGCGGTCCTGGGCATTCCTCTGATGCTCTTGTGTCTGTCAAACATTGGCGACGGACTGGCTGATATCTTCCGCTTCATCTACGCCAAGATCTGCTGCTGCGGAGGTTGTCGGCGCAAGAAAAAGGGCAAGGATAAGGTAGTGTATAGTTAAATGTTTTTACATTTTCAAAAACTGTAGCGTTGTTGCTAGCCACATACCGCTTGTCCAGAAGATCATGGGATTGAATCTACATAGAGATAAATCTTAAACAAACTCCTTGCACCCAGCCTAGAATAAGTACCAAATATGGGAAGTAAAGGTGGCTCGTATGATGTTGACCATACCACCCATCTATACTATAAATCACAAACTTTCTGAATTTCGTGCGTTCATTTTAAATAAAGCGGTAACTGATCCGAAACTGTCACCACTACACGGGTTAAACTCTCATTTGCAATTATGGCTACATTCTTCAAATTACCAGTCAATAGGCGACCAGCTTTATGTGCACTTCCTTTATTTATTGCAACAATAAGGGAAAGTAAAGTTTTCCTGGATTTATATCCGTTAGAATTGTTTCCTCTATATTACTTCCCCTAAAAAAGAAATGTAAAAACATGATATTTTGCGGTTGTCTTCCTTGAAACCACACATCAATGCGTCTCAGAGACGTACATTTTAATGTCTCCCAAATTGTTGAATACTGGTGTTAGTATCACAGGTGATGTCTCAGGTGCACTAAGAGGCAGTGAATTAAGATACTGCCCTAGTGGAGACAAAGATCAAGTAGAAGATAGGGTATTAATGTTAGACGCTTATTTTCACTAGGCTTACATAGAGTTCAGCGGTGGAAACTAAGATGAGCTAGAGTTTGCATTTCTTGGTTTGTTTAAAATATGACTGTATGCATTAGGCTATATTACAACAAATGCAGCAAAGAATACACAACTACGCAAAAATGAAACAACCATAAATAGATTTCTACTTAATAAGATAAACTGTCCACGACTACTGACTGGACCATTTTCGAGGTATATAGAATACAGTGGCTAGTAGGACAGCGGCGTGCAGTACAGTGGCTAGAAGTACAATGGCAGGTTATGCAGTGGCTGGTAGTACATGGCTGGCAGTACAGTGGCTAGTAGGACAGCGGCGTGCAGTACAGTGGCTAGTAGGACAGCGGCGTGCAGTACAGTGGCTAGAAGTACAATGGCAGGTAATACAGTGGCTGGTAGAACAATTAGTTAGTTAGTTAGTCTTTCCTCTTGTGTCGAGTGCGGCACATAGGGCAGAGGTCATGACTCTCCATGCATGGCGGTTCGTTGCAATCTGTTGTAGGTCTTGGATGTTTGAGTGGCCCATGAGCGAGCCTTCCCTGATGATAGTTCTACGTAGGGTTTCCCTTGGTCTTCCACGAGATCTTTTACCCTGTGGTGTCCAAATGAGAGCTTGGTAAGGAAGTCTTGATTTATCCATTCTAAGGGCGTGGCCGACATAGTTCCAGCGGCGTTTTCGTATAAAATTAGACACATACTCTTGCCTGGATTCTTGCCTTATTTGTGTATTGGTTCGGAAATCTGACCATTTGAAATTTAGTATTCTTCTAAGGCATTTATTTTCAAACCTGTCTAATTTTGTGTCTAGAGTTTTCGTTGATTTTAAGCTCTCGCATCCATAGGTTAGTACTGGAATCACACAAGAATTGAAGATCTTGAGTTTTGTGTGTTTGCTAAGTGTCTTTGATTTCCAGATATTGGACAGTTTATTGAAGGCACTAGATGCCAGTGCTATTCTAAATGGTATTTCTGGTGCGGTATCTCCTGTAGATGACATCCTGCTCCCTAGATAAGTAAAACCGTTGACTTTTTCAAGGCTGTTGTTGTTCAGCGTGATATCAACTGATCTGTTGGTAAGGTCTAGAATTTTTGTTTTTGCGGTGTTAATTTGGAGTCCAGTTTGTTCTGAGAAATTCTGGAGTCGATTGATTTTTTCTTGGGCGTCTGTGTGTTCTGAACTCAGGAGTGCTATGTCGTCGGCGAAGTCTAGGTCTTCCAGAATTTTGTAGTACAATGACAAGTATAGTAGCTAATAGTACAGTGGCTAGTAGTATAGTGGCTTGCAGTACAGTGGCTAGAAGTGCAATAAAAGATAATACAGTGGCAGGAAGTACAATGGCAGTTAATACAGTGGCTGGTAGTACAATAGTAAATAGTTTAGTAGCTAGTAGTACAGTGGCTAGCAGTACAATGGAAGATAATACAGTGGCTGGAAGTATAATGGCAAGTAATACCGTGGCTAGCCGTACAATGACAGGTAATACAGTGGCTGATAGTATAATGGCTAATAGTATAGTAGCTAGAAGTACAGTGGCTAGTAACACAGTAGCTAAGCAGCTAGTTGTACAGTGGCTATTACCACAGTGGCTAAGTAGATAGTAGTACAGTGGGTAGTTGACTAATAGTGCACTGGCTGGTAGTACAGTGGCTGGTAGTACAGTGGCTGGTAGTACAGTGGTTGGTAGTACAGTGGCTGGTAGTACAGTGGCTGGTAGTACAGTGGCTGGTAGTACAGTGGCAAGTAGTACAGGGGCAGTTAGTACAATGGCTAGTAGTGCAGTGGCTAGTTCGTACAGTTTCTGGTAGTACGGTGGCTGATAGTAGAGCGTCTAGTAGTAAAGTAGCCAGTAGTAAAGTGACCAGTGGTACAGTGGCTGGTACTACAGTGGCTAGTGGTACAGTGCCTGGTAGTACAATGGCTAGTGGTACAGTGGCTGGTAGTACAGTGGCTAGCAGTAGAGTCGCCAGTAGTACAGTGGCTTGTGGTACAGTGGTTGTTAGTACAGTGGCTAGTGGTACAGCGGCTGGTAGTACAGTGGCTAGTAGTAGAGAAATCAGTAGTAAAGTGGCTAGTAGTACAGTAGCTGGTAGTACAGTAGCTAGTGGTACAGTGGCTAGCAGTAGAGTATCAAGTTGTACAGTGGCTAGTGGTACAGTGGCTAGCAGTAGAGTAGCCAGTAGCACTCTGGCTAGTGATACAGCGTGTGGTAGTACCGTGACAATGGTAAGTGGCAAGTATAGTGGCTAGCAGTATAGTAGTCAGTTAAACAGTGGCTAGTAGTAAAGTTGTTAGTAGTAGAGTAGCCATTAGTACAGTTGATAATGGTACAGTGGCTGGTAGTGCAATGTCTAGTAGTACAGTGGCTGGTAGTGCAATGTCTAGTAGTACAGTGGCTGGTAGTGCAATGTCTAGTAGTACAGTGGCTGGTAGTGCAATGTCTAGTAGTACAGAGGCTGGTAGTGCAATGTCTAGTAGTACAGAGGCTGGTAGTGCAATGTCTAGTAGTACAGTGGCTGGTAGTGCAATGTCTAGTAGTACAGTGGCTGGTAGTGCAATGTCTAGTAGTACAGAGGCTGGTAGTACAATGTCTAGTAGTACAGAGCTGGTAGTGCAATGTCTAGTAGTACAGAGGCTGGTAGTACAATGTCTAGTAGTACAGAGCTGGTAATGCAATGTCTAGTAGTACAGAGGCTGGTAGTGCAATGTCTAGTAGTACAGAGGCTGGTAGTGCAATGTCTAGTAGTACAGTGGCTGGTAGTGCAATGTCTAGTAGTACAGTGGCTGGTAGTGCAATGTCTAGTAGTACAGAGGCTGGTAGTGCAATGTCTAGTAGTACAGAGGCTGGTAGTGCAATGTCTAGTAGTACAGTGGCTGGTAGTGCAATGTCTAGTAGTACAGTGGCTGGTAGTGCAATGTCTAGTAGTACAGTGGCTGGTAGTGCAATGTCTAGTAGTACAGAGGCTGGTAGTGCAATGTCTAGTAGTACAGAGGCTGTTAGTGCAATGTCTAGTAGTACAGTGGCTGGTAGTGCAATGTCTAGTAGTACAGAGGCTGATAGTGCAATGTCTAGTAGTACAGTGGCTGGTAGTGCAATGTCTAGTAGTACAGAGACTGGTAGTGCAATGTCTAGTAGTACAGAGGCTGGTAGTGCAATGTCTAGTAGTACAGTGGCTGGTAGTGCAATGTCTAGTAGTACAGAGGCTGGTAGTGCAATGTCTAGTAGTACAGAGGCTAGTAGTGCAATGTCTAGTAGTACAGAGGCTGGTAGTGCAATGTCTAGTAGTACAGAGGCTGGTAGTGCAATGTCTAGTAGTACAGAGGCTAGTAGTGCAATGTCTAGTAGTACAGAGGCTGGTAGTGCAATGTCTAGTAGTACAGAGGCTGATAGTGCAATGTCTAGTAGTACAGAGGCTGGTAGTGCAGTGTCTAGTAGTACAGAGGCTGGTAGTGCAATGTCTAGTAGTACAGAGGCTGGTAGTGCAATGTCTAGTAGTACAGAGGCTGGTAGTGCAGTGTCTAGTAGTACAGAGGCTGGTAGTGCAATGTCTAGTAGTACAGTGGCTGGTAGTGCAATGTCTAGTAGTACAGTGGCTGGTAGTGCAATGTCTAGTAGTACAGAGGCTGGTAGTGCAATGTCTAGTAGTACAGAGGCTGGTAGTGCAGTGTCTAGTAGTACAGAGGCTGGTAGTGCAATGTCTAGTAGTACAGAGGCTGGTAGTGCAATGTCTAGTAGTACAGAGGCTGGTAGTGCAATGTCTAGTAGTACAGAGGCTGGTAGTGCAATGTCTAGTAGTACAGAGGCTGGTAGTGTAATGTCTAGTAGTACAGAGGCTGGTAGTGCAATGTCTAGTAGTACAGAGGCTAGTAGTGCAATGTCTAGTAGTACAGAGGCTGGTAGTGCAGTGTCTAGTAGTACAGAGGCTGGTAGTGCAGTGACGACTAGTAAAATAGCTAGTAGTATAGTGACGAATATAATATTGGTTAATTTGTACAGTGACGAGTAGTATAATGGCTAAGAAATACAATGACGAAGATAAGAATGGTTAGGTGTACAGTGACGAGTACTATAATGGCTAGAAGTACAGGATTGAAGCCTAAAATATTAACGCCAAATGACTTCAAGAACCATATTTAGATGCGAATCGAGCAAGAGTAAATCGAAGTCAACTCCTTCAAACCATGTACATTATTTAGCACTTTGCCGCCATATGTAGGAGGGTTGAAGAAATCACCGACTACGAGTTGTTGGAACAGCTGCGAAAAACCTGCACTTTTATAAAAATGGCTTTGTTCTGTCAAGAGGAGACAACTAGGAAGCGATCAAATGTAGTAAGTAAGTTGTACCCCACGAGGACATCATACAAGCGATAAACACCGGTGACACAAAGTGCTACCATGCGGATGAGGATCACCCGTGGAAAGGTCCCGGAAACCCCGTTCAGCTGTTAGGCCATATTTATGTCCAGGCTATACTTAAGACCATCAAATGGTCACACACACAACAGCGCTACTACCAGAACCAACACAGCTTTTATAAATATGTGTATATACATACATACAATTACTACCGTCTCTCCACCCCCCCCCCCCCCCCCCCAAACCGCCCAACAACAGAAACAACAGATTGTTAATATTCTGTTTTCTCACAGCGATTGGAACACATAGGAAATAACTCCTCCTTTGTGAGCCATTAGACATTGACATACTTATCACCCTTGTGTTTCTTCTGGGATAGGAATGTGTTGCTTATGCAATAACAAAACAGGTGGAGAAAAATCACAATAACAGCTGAAGCCTTAACCTACCAGTCTACACGTAATATAAAGAATATTGATTTTGTTATATACTATACTTGTCATCAGAAATGAAGTTCCAGTATTTGTTTTGGCTATCCGGCTGATATAATTGCTTACAGTGAAGAAGGAAACTACAATTTTCATTGCGACCTGAACGTCTAAGCATCTGCATTTAGTATTAAAATAATAATAATTATTATTCATCCCCTTGTGGGATGCTATTTTTCGTTATTTTGAAGTCCCAGCCTGACTTTTGCCAGGGACCGCAAAATAGCCCGACCATAAATATGGTCTAATGGCTGAACGCAGTTTCCGGGAACTCTCCACTGGTGATCCTCATCCACATGGTGGCACTTTGTGTCATCGGTGTTAATCGCTTGTGTGATGTCCTCATGGGGTAAAATGTACTACTACTACTACTACTATTAAAATAATCCTTAGCAGCAAAAGGCCAAAGACTTCATCGTCCCACAGTGATTACCTCCTTAAGATTTGCCCTGTTCCCTTGATAATCCCCCCCCCCCCCACCCCCCACACACAAAAAAATTAGAATGAGTTATGATTTGGATTATCTTCACGGTAATTGGCATACGCCCATAAGTGCTCAGATTCACTCTTCAGCATATTAAAAAGCGTCCCGTGGTTAATAGTGCCAGTCGTATTAGGTTATAAAGACTTCTTTCACAGTCGCTGTGCCTTTCATGTCTGGCAATGTCGATCTTAACTCAAAATTCTAGTTTTCACAGCAGTGATGTCGACATGCTGCTCCCAAATTCCTCCGATCGCCACCTTTAGGCACACTATTTGTTTGAATGCGTGAGCCGTGGAAGCACATTGACTAGAGATCGGCTGACGGGAAAAATATCTTAAAATAGAAATGGCATCAATGTTTTGAACACAAAATTTGGAAGACGGGCAAGTTACTATTTTTAGTCGTAGCAAGTTCTTGCTTCTGACAATACTTAGCTGTTGCATTTTCCTTTATATCTAGAGTGAAAAGATATAGTTTCGCCGCCTAGATACTGAACTGAGGGCATGGCACGAAACTGTGAGCTAAAGATGTCATTTGGAAGGTTTTTCGACTGTGACCAAAACGTAGTTTTTTTTTGTGAACTGTAGATTTATAAAATGGCTAGTAGTCTGTTGCCACAGAACTAGCCGGTGGTGCCGGATGTGATTAATCGCGCGTGGAACTACTGATCTGTTGAAACTGCTGCTTCCATCGATGATGAACTGCATTTCTAGTGTCTGACTATTTGTGTTAGCCCTTCTGATGACTGCCTTATGCATTTAATGTGTCTTTGCTACCGGATATGCGGAGGCTGCAATTTGTACCAGTTTTTCCATGAGTGATAGTTAAGGATTGGCACAGGGATCGAGCAACTATAGGGTAATCCTTTTATCATAAAGTGGAAACAGCGATAAGCTGATTACCCAAGGTTGACCGAGGATAAAAAGACGTCACACGAAATTAAAGCGGGTCGCTTCAATATGAAAACATGCCCCCACTGATTGCTGAATGATTAACAACAAAGATGGGTCTGGCACCATGTGTCCAGGTTTCCTGTGAAACAATCTGGATTTTTGTCTTCTATTTTCTCACATCAAACTCTACCCATGATGAACTAAATAACTATGTAATTTACCAACAGTTGGCAGGTACGAAGATATCTAACACTAACAGTATGGGACCATGGGAGTCAGACAAGAGTCAGATTATTCCAGGTAAGCAAGTAAAGCAGCATATTCCCATTTTTGGCTCTTAGGCCATGTAGTGTTAGAGCTATATTTGTATAGCCCAATCGGCAGTCGATGGGTAATATGGTCAGAATCACACTGGACGCCTCTACCTGCCAGTATATTACCTGTGTCGACCTAAATACACACTCATACACTCACACGCGCACACTCGTACACGCACGCGCGCACACTCATACACACACACGCTCACAATCGTACACGCACGCGCGCACACTCATACACACACGCGCGCACACCCAAACACACACATGACATGGGCTATACAAGAAGAAGTGCAGGAATTTAAACGTGCGCAACATGCACACGGTCAGCGTCTTTGACTTAGGAGTAATGAACGCAGTTTAAAAATTCCAGTACGCTGTTTTTTTTCTCCCGTGGCAGTAGTTTGATTAGGTAGTGTGATTGTGGAACAATAACATAAAACAGCAGTAAAACTTTAGAACGTAACATCGACCAGGAAAAACACAAACAGCCAACAAACGGGTTAGTTTGCAATGTCCTGTAAAGAAAACACAGCTAAGTTTAACTTTAACTTTGTGACTGGTTTTCTTTATTCAAAATAAGGCAGCGGGTATGACGTTGACCACATTATTCGTTGGGTGCTGCTTAGTCGATACAAATGCGGGTGTAGTACCCATATGTCAATTGCCAGACAAGGTTCGTTTTTTTAAACGTTAAATGCACACAGCAAGACTAAACTAGAAACGGCTGGATTTGACAAGCCAGATAACACCAGCAGATTAAAGCACATAAATGATATCGAAAGTTTAACAAGGACAAGACAGTTTTGTACGTATCAGGTTCCAAGGCCCAAATGTATTCATACATACATACATACATACATACATACATACAATGGCACGTGCACACGCACACGCACCCCACACTCACATATGCAAGCACACATATGTTACACATTACTGATCCCGCTGTCGTAAAGTGAATGTGATATTTATATCAGGATAAGAACTTTATTTCAGACTAGATAGAAAAATTATAAATGTACTGCCAAACTAGATCACTGGCAGACGTTGGTGGTTCTATAATTTAAGAAGAGCAAATGCTTTAGCTGCTAAAACCGAGGCCTTGGTTCGAATCTCTCGACAAAGTAAAGGAAAACAACTTGTCCATGTTTCCAGGCGTATCGGATACATCGAGCTGGACCTATATTTTATAGATCAATCCGCATTCGGCGGGTGTAGTGATCACTATCACACGTGTCGCCTTTACTTACCTGGACTACACCTGGTAGTTATTTGAGGAGTGGGAGGGGGAAGATGAGTCAACAAGGGAGTCAAGCGCATAAAAAAAAAAGTTTAACAAAAAAAAAAAATTATCTCCGTGAGGACCTGAACACTCACGATCCGCAGGCGAGCGTCTGGCCGCTACATCACGGTGGCCCCATTTCGTGATTAAGTTATGGAAATATTTTTCTTACGGGACAAACAGTAAATCTCTAACACGCACAGTCGGTGGCGACCTGCTAGGCGGTCCTAGTCACTCAGTGGTAAGATCCCCTGTCTAAACGAGGTCATTTTAAACATTAGCGGTTGTGTTTTAGTCAGGCCAATTGATTGTTATTATTTCTAGCTCTCTGATGGACATAGACACTGTAGAGCAGTGGTTCTCAAACTGTACGCAGCGACTCCCGTGCCCTGAGTGTATACCCTCGAGGGTACTGCCGCAGTAATCAATAATTTTGCAAGACAGGAGTTTTAAAACAGAAATACCATGAAGGAAGTCAAGAAGAGTTCTGGATACAGGTTTAATCCTAAAACAATGCTTTTGGCAAGGCTGCAGTGCATTTTCAACGTACGCTTACATATAAAAAAAAATACAAGAGCACCTTCAATTATTTTGAGGGTACTGTTAACTAAACTTGTAATAAACACAAAGAAAATAATGAAAAATACACCCAGACATTTTAATATTTAGGTTTTGAACAACGGATCAACATCATGGCACACGGGTAAGTTACCCATAAGTCTGAGTCCGAAGAAGCTCAGCACAGTGCACAGGCTCTGTAGCAACGTCGAGGATCCAGAATTACTTTTTTGTTTTAACAAAACTAAAGGACAATTGATTGTTAGTTTTTTCAGTTAACTTCTCTTCTTGTTTTCCCTCCCAGAAAAGCATCGTAAGACCTTCCATTGCCATGACTTCATCCCAGCCATCCTTTTGTATCCTTTGGTTGCTAGAGGAAACAAAGGTCAGCCATAATTATGGCATTTGCGATCTCTAGTAAAGGCAGAAGATTTACCATAAGACCATTAGTCAATGTGTCTGTTTTAGTGTTTTTTCCCAGTCGAATTTATGTAGGCCTACCATATTTCCAGGCGGTCAGAGGGCCCCAGCTTCCACAGAGTTCTCCAATCTGACAACGCGATCTCCTACAGAGAGCCTGGAGTCCAACGACAGCAAGAGAAGACTGGACGCCGGGCGGCGGGCGTCTAAGGGCAGCTTCGGCAGGTCGAAGGTTAGAATACAAGTAATGTTAGCATAACATAGAAATATGCCTTCTCATTGATAGCACATTCCAACTGTGGACTGTGCCGAAAATGTACAATAACATAGTCTGAGAAAGAGCCCAGAAAATAGACCCTGATGGATGAAAGGATTCACCCCCTTCTCTTCCCCCACCAGGACACATAATAAGTACCTAAAACAGGGATGGGGAGGGGAGCGGTAGACCGACGCCCCATACCCCTCTTTAAAAAAATGCATGTCGTAAAAAGTAACTATTTATGGGTGTATATTTTAACTTCTGAGTGTATCTGCCTGAGAGACGTGTGAACTAAGAAAAAAGCCAGATTTGTAAAAGAGATGTGAACACAAAACTCTAGTTTTTGACCAAGACCGGCTTCCAGATATGGAAAAAGAACAAGAAATCTCTAGTGCAGTTTAGGAAATTTTATAATGGTGCTAAAAAGAAAAAAAAATAAGTAGAAGAAGAAGAAGAAGAAGAAGAAGAAGAAGAAGAAGAAGAAGAAGAAGAAGAAGAAGAAGAAGAAGAAGAAGAAGAAGAAAAAGAAGAAAAAGAAGAAGAAGAAGAAGAAGAAGAAGAAGAAGAAGAAGAAGAAGAAGAAGAAGAAGAAGAAGAAGAAGAAGAAGAAGAAGCAGAAGAAGTAGAAGAAGAAGAAGAAGAAGAAGAAGAAGAAGAAGAAGAAGAAGAAGAAGAAGAAGAAGAAAAAGAAGAAAATGAAGAAGAGGAGGAGGAGGAGAAGAAAAAGAAGAAGAAGAAGAAGAAGAAGAAGAAGAAGAAGAAGAAGAAGAAGAAGAAGAAGAAGAAGAAGAAGAAGAAGAAGAAGAAGAAGAAGAAGAAGAAGAAGAAGAAGAAGAAGAAGAATTAACAAGCCATATCTTTTTGTGGTTGTGTGCTGTTATATATAAAGAAAACGTTCTCCAAAACTATACATTACTATTCTCTTTTATCCTTTTGTTACGGAGTACGTAAGCAGATGTCTTGTAGACAACTGGTATTCCCAAGAAGATTCTTATAAGTATTGTCCATTCAGAGCAATATACCTCAACGTTTTCGTTTTATGTCCTTGCTTTGATCCAGTAAAAATACGATTTTCTTCCCGTCTCAGGTGAGGATCGCACCCCTGAATATGAAGAAAACCGACCTGGTTATTCTGGATGACGACAGTGACAGCGACGACGAAGATGATCTGGAGAGAGGCAAGATAACAGTCCCACTGACCATCACCATGATTGTCATCGGCAGCTACATCTTTGGCGGCGCGGTGTTGTTCGGCTTGTGGGAAGGCTGGGACTGGCTTCAATCTGCCTACTTCTGCTTCATCACTCTCAGCACCATTGGCTTCGGGGACGTGGTGCCTGGAACGGATTTCGACAATCCTCAAGCGCAAGCGCAACTGATGATCGGATCTATCTATGTTTTGTTTGGCATGGCGATTCTCTCTATGTGCTTCTCTCTGATGCAGGATGAGATTCTGGCCAAGGCTAGGTGGATTGGTCAGAAGATGGGTATCCTTGATAAAGAGGCCGAGGAGTAGATATTATTTTCCTTTATATAATATTCGCGTGTTTCAGTTCATTGATTGTATTTTGACAACTTTCAATGAAATTGTTCAAATAACAGAAAAAATAGCATATTTCGTTTTTGTTTTTAACAACCTTTTTTTTTTGGCGATCATCATTAGCAAAACATACACATGATCACCTTATTAATTATTCTGTTAGTTTTAAATAAGCCCGCCGTAATATAACCGGGACCAGGTAATGTAAACAGTCTAGGGTTGAATTCAGCAACGCCTGAGATTTGTTTCAAAACTGACGTTGACTCCAAGGTCGATCCAGCTGAGAATGGTTACCAAATAATGTCATGGGAAGTAAAAGCAGCCGGTGTGATCCCCTACCCAGTACCGCTGGGTGTGCAAAAATAAAAAAGGGTCTAGCATCATATGCCCAAAACACTAATGGAGTAAACAGGGTCCTTTACCTTACCTATAAAAAAAAATAAGTAAGTGTGATCACTGGAACCGATTCTCTTTGGTGTGGCTTATCTTGTTAGCTAAGGGTATAGACACAAAGAAAACACTGAGGCGGGCTTAGGCATTTTTAGAAGGGCGAGGATCTGGTTTAAGTGCTTAATAATAATGCGTTGAATAAGAACAAAACAAATATATTTGAAGAAATTACGTTTTTAAATAAAACCTTAAAAATATAGTGTTTATGCATCATTAGTAGAGCTAATTGGTGGCCTAACCCTTTTACAAATTTAAGAATAGCATGGAAAACAGGAAAAAAAACTGGGTGGGGGAGGGGGGGGGGTGTTCCTGATTCAAGGTACGTAAGCTATCAAGTTCCGTCACCCCTAATGTAAGCTGATAATGATAGTGTTGCCACTCGCAATCCGTATACCAATCCTGGGTAAGGTTGGGGATTTTTTTTTCTTTACGTCGGAAGAAAAAAATAAAATTATAACCTGTACAGTTCGTGCCGACAGCACTAGCCATGCCCCGCTCCCCTATATCCTCAGGCTCAAAGATACCCCTACATATACTGCACAAGTGGTAAATACGGACAGTAATGGCAATTTTGTAGTACTCACTGTACTTTTACTGCCCCCCCCCCCTTCCCACCCCTCCCCACTGTCTACGGTTTCCTTAGCAAGGCCAGACCGGATGATTCCGTTCCCTGATTATGTTTTTTTATCACGCTAAATAATATATTTCCATTTTGTAAAGAAGGTACATTCATTAAATCTCATGTTCCCGATTGTATCAATAGTAATCGCTTGACTGGGGAGAGAGTAGTCTGGGTTTAATTCCCAGACATTGCAAAATGTTTCCAGACCACTACAGCCAAGGTGATCGGTTGCTGTGGGGGTCGAAAACTTCTGTCTTGTTCAACCATAAAGGTAAAAGCCAGATGATCGACTTTATTGCACTAGGTTTTATCCCATACGGCTCATTCTCTCTCCGCAGAACACCTAGCTGCCTGCCGAGAGCGTCACACAGAGCATGACCTTCGTAGCTCCGGCGACGATTTCCAGAAATCTCCGTAAAAATTGCACTCTTGAACTGATTGGCGCCGCATTGAAACGAACCCGGTGCACTTTCCTACCCACGGTGTAACTTACATCATATGCCCATCTTTGCGTTCGTCAGTCCCTGCCCCTCTTTCTGAGGACAGTGCCTTCTGCTACTATTTTTTCCAATTCCAAGTGGAGCTTGATATGGCCAAAACAGTTCAGTTTCCGAGGGAAGATGTTTACTAGCTCCATCTATTTGCCATGGTCTTTGATGTCGGAAGGCCTAGCACGTCACATCCTAACGGGATCAAATATCTTTTGGTCAGCCTCAGAGATCTCAGCCTTGAGATCATTGTTTCTCGGGACATTGTGATAGGATCTGTGTTTTTGTCTTTTTTTTTTTTTTTAAATTATAATAAAAATTATCAGAGCTAACATACAATAGCACTATGCACGCTCTCGAATCAACTGCACACTTTTATACTTACACACTCATACACAGACACATTCTGTATCTGTTACATTCATATTTACTGTCACACACATCTCTGTTTGACTGTCTGGCAGATTGGCAGTCGGTCCGTCTGTCTTTCTCTCCTCTCTTTCTTGCTCTCTCTCTCTCTCTCTCTCTCTCTCTCTCTCTCTCTCTCTCTCTCTCTCTTTCTCTCTCTCACTCTCCTTTTTCAGACAATCTCACACAAGTGGAACAACTGTAAATTAAATAATCATCAGCATCATCATGTAGCAGGTCATTTGCAGAACGTCGCTCTCATCACAGTCTGCCTGAAAGAAACTCGGTCTCTCGCCAGTTCTCCCGTCTCATGCATTTTCACATTCACGGAGTCACCTATATCCTGTGCCCATTTTCGTGTCGGTGGCCCCTGCCCCTCCTTTTTGGTACCATGCCTTTTGATATGACCAAAATATTTCAGCTTTCGAGAAAGGATGCTGTTTATTAGCCAATCTTTCTTGATGTTCAGATCTTTTAAGATGTCAAATTAAAAAAACAAGAGTGAAATAGGCTGTTTGTCTTATCTTGTGTCTTGTGCGTCCAGTTGTGTTCTGAATATCAGCTTGTGTACACAAAGCCAGTACACCGGGCAGTAATTTGTACACAAAATGCAGATGACACTTCTGTCACTGTATTTAAAGTATGCAGTGTTCTCTTCATGAAAACACCTATGATATTTTGATTATTTGTGGTGACGGCGGATGGCTGATTTTGTTATTTTAACCTTACCAATGAAAATGTGACCTAAACAGCACTTCCTGTGCCCTAACTTATTACCCCTCATGGGATCATCAGCTTAGCGAGAATGTTACTCTTTCTTGGGTCTCCGTGGCCAAGTGATCAAGCCGATTGCCCCGCTCCCTGAAGGTCGTGGGTTTGTTTCATGGTAGCGCCGTTCAGTTCACGAGTCCAATTGTTACGGAGATTCCTGGGGATCGTCGCCGGAGCTACGGAGATCGTGATCTGTGTGACCCTCTCGGCAGGCAGCCGTTCTGCGGTGAAAGACTTGGCGATATGGAAAAAACTCGGTGCAAGGAAGTTGATCCTACCCATTGACCTTCGTTATTCTTTTTCACATATACTGAAAGTAAGGGTTCAGGCTGAATATATGGTAATCTGACATAATGTATAACTGTGGGTCATCTGTCATAATAATCATGTTTGGGTTGGGGAAAAATATATCTTAACTTTATATATGTTGATCTGGTGCAATCTGCTAAATGAAAGCTTGAAGAAAACAGATGATGAAGCAGTTTTATCAAATACATATAAAGTAATTCAAGTGAATGGCACGCACGCACGCACGCACACAAACACACACTCACACACACACACCTGCAGTTGAAATGTGTTTTCAGAATTATAAACTGCATTGAGAACATTCTCTAAACAAAACAAAAAAACATGCCGTAGATGTAGATTCTTGGCCAATCCTGATGTATGTAAGAGAATCATTGACTGTTTGCAGATTAATGAGAAAGTAGGTGCGAGCAGTCGAGATGGAATTTCGTTAAAAGAATAATGGCGGAAAAGTAATAGGCCCAATGAAGATATATACAGTCATTGTCAAAATGTGCCATCATATTTCACACAGGGCGTCAACTCTGTTTCTCCATTCCGTTCTTCTCTGTGCAATCACAATGATATCATGAATGGAATCCAGGCCAGCACCTTTGGCTTCTCTCATCAACGTTCGCTTTGGGGTTTCACTTGGACGTCCTCATTTCCTGAGTCCCCATATTTCCCTTTGCAGTACCTGTTTGGTGAATTTCGGTTCACCGCTTCTCGGAATGTGTGCAGTATAACGCCATCTTCTTTGTCATAAAATGTTGATACTAACAGCTTCCAAGCTAATGCATGACTCTCAGGCGAACACTTTAACACTGCGACCAACATTAATGTGCCGCGACACAGTGATTGACAAGCTCAGAGTGTTGAGTGTCCTCTAAATCTTTCCTTCTCTCACTTGAGCACAAATCAAACCATGTTAATTTTTTTTTCCGTACTGTGAAAGTTTGTTTTTGGAAAATAACGTAACAATAGGCTATAAGCATTCCACTCAACACTTTTAAAACATTTTCAAATCAAGGATTTATTTCAACAAGGTAATTTACAGGCGGTCAGATGGCAAGAAATGCCACATAGCGCTAATTTACATTATTACAGAAGTATGAGCTCAAAAAAGTATGACCTGAGTTGATCATCTGTTTTATTTACATCTTTATTCCAAAGCTTCCAGTGCTGCTTTCAAATCTTTGGGTCCTCCCTCCCTCACCGCTCCCACTTAGCTTTCACTCTTAATCAGTTGTAGGACATAGCCTTGGTTCCGCTTCAATTATAGGATGTAGCATTTAATTTTTATCAACAATTGGTCGAAGCCTTCATTATCTATCAACTGTAGAACTTAGTCTCCATTCTCCATCAACTATAGATCATACGTAGCCTTCATTATCTGTTAACTGCAGGGAGTAGCGCTCATTATACGTCAAAAGTAGGATGTAGCAAGTTTTCTCATTAGGGTGTAGGATGTATTTTTTTTTTATTTTTTTTTGCTAACCTTTTATTTTTATACACTATTCAGAATTTGTCGGCTCATGAGATCCATATAATTCCGTCTGCTTTTATGCCCAGTAACATTTTCTCGCACCTTTCAAGTTAGGTCGACCTTGCAGACCAGACAGTTTCACAAATGTGCTTCGCTGGGGGTTCAGACCTATGACCACTGGGTCCACAGTATCAGTATGACAGAAATTATGCGAGGGTGGGATGGCAATGTACACGAGTGTGCAACTCGAAAATGTTTAAAAAACACTGATGCAGACTGATGAACCATCATCATCATCAAGAATTCATGTATGGTTTATACACTCCATCATTTACCAAGGTCTGAATTGCCAGCTGCAAATTTACTATACAAAACAAGTGAGTAAAAGTTGAGTACATAACAATGAGATATTACATTCTCCTTAAAAAACACTTTCAGTGGGCGGCTATAAATAAACGGAGAT